GAAAAGGTCCCTGCGGGATGCACAGCAGAAGCAGGCAGGTATGGAGGACATACTTGGCCGGATCATGTTGTGCCAGGGCTAGTGTGAAATTGGAACACTGGGTAGGGACCAAAGCAGTGTCAGTCTTAAATAGCACACTAAACTTAGGACCTTTAGTGGAGGTAGGTACTGTGGAAGGGTTTTTCAGAACAACCTTCTGGCAAGTTCTGATCTAGCAATACTAAGAAGTGGGCATTGGAGACACATTCTGTGTTGGGAAAGAGAACCACTTCTGTGATCTAGAGGACTTCTGTGATCTAGAGGACTTTTAGCGGTACATGGATATGAGAGTTAAATCCACATGAAGCCAATTCAACAGTGTGGGACATAGCAGTGGTCAAAAGGTTATCCCAGTATCATTTTGCCCAAGCTATATAGCAATCATTTCTTTAACCATCCTGACAAAATTCTCCTGTTTCCATTTTTTTGTTGTTGGTGGTGGTGGTTGTGGGCCTAAACTCGGGGCTGTCCCTGAGCTCTTCAGCTCCAGGCTAGTGCTTTACCACTTGAGACACAGTGCCACTTCCAGCTTTTTCTGATTATGTGATGCTGAGGAATCGAACCCAGGACCTCATGCATGCAAAGCAAGTACTCCACCATTGAGCCACCTACCCAGCCCTCCTCTTTCCATTTTTATGGCCCTTGGTGTCTTATCTTTTTTAGCTGATTAATCACACACACACACAGACATGACAGAGAAATAGAGACAGAGACTCAGATATAGAGACAGATTAAGGAAGCAAGCTTTTCATTCTAGGAAAATGCCATTGACCTCTCCATTTAATCAGTAGCATGTAAGTAACTGAAAAGGGAATTACTCTTCTTGCCAAAAGCTACACAGCTTATACCCTGGGTGTGCTCAAGAGTTTTGTAAATTATAAAATAATTGACTGTAAATGTAAGCAATTGCCTCTGAGATTCTCTTATGTTTTCTCTTCTCATTTTTTGCATTTTAAAATTTGTGTGTTTTTGTGCATATATGTGGTGTTGGGATGAACCCCAGCACCAAACACATGCTAGGCAAGCACTATACTAGTAAGCTCCCCTCAAACCCTCCCTTAAATTTTTAAAAATGTTCCCAGGGCTTGAACTTGGGGCCTGGGACTTGTTCCTGAGCCTCTTTGTGCTCAAAGCTAGCACTCTACCACTTGAGCCACAGCACCACTTCTGGCTTTTTTGAGTAATATATTAGAGATAAGAGTCTCACAGGGATTTTTCTGCCCAGGCTGGCTTTGCAGGGCAATCCTCAGATCTCAGCCTGCTGAGTAGGTAGGATTACAGGTGTGAGCCACCAGCGCCTGGTTCTCCCTTACATGTTTAAAATTAATCATGTGACCTTAGACTGGTTACAAATCTCAACCCCTTTTCTCACATGTTAATCAAATGAAGTCAGTGAGCTTGTCCTATCATATCTATGAAGATGATGAGAAAAATATATGCAATCAAACTTTAACAGCTGTTAAGACATAACATGAACTGAGGTGTTAGAATGTATTATTGAATCTTGGCTTAATTGCAGCCAGAGGGAATTTGCTATAAGGAAAATCTGCAAAAGTAAAATAAAACTAAATTCTCTAGAACTGCACAGTGATAGAAGTGAACAAAAATAATCTCATGGCTTCTCTGAGACTGAGGATTCAAACTCCTTGCTGGCATGGAAAGGAGTCTCCTTCACGTCTTTATTGCAACTCCTTCTGCAGTTACCACTGGAATTATATGCAGGAAACCGAGTAATGCTCACTGTCAGGTTTCCTGTGTTACTTAAGTTGTCCCCCCTCAACCCCCCAGTAGAATTCACAGTCCCAGTGAATTCACTGACTCACTGATTTTCTGACTGGTTAAAATACTCCGGTTTTACCTGCTTCCCAGAGGTCTGTGACTTAGATGTTCCTCCTCCCATTCTTTTTTTTTTGGGGGGGATGGGGGTGTCTGGTCGTGGGGCCTGAATTCTGGGCCTGGGCACTGTCCCTCAGCTCTTCAGCTCAAGGCTAGTGCTCTATCACTTGAGCCACAGTGCCACTTCCGGCTTTTTTTTTTTCTGTTTATGTGGTGCTGAGGAATCGAACCTAGGGCCTCAAGCATGCAAGGCAAGCGCTCTACCACTGAGCCACCTTTCCAGGCCCCTCCTCCCATTCTTTTTTTTTTAATATATTTTTTTTTTTTGTCTCCTGGGCCCTGTCCCTCAGCTCTTCAGCTCAAGGCTAGCGCTCTACCACTTGAGCTACAGCGCCACTTCCGGGCTTTTCTGTTTATGTGGTGCTGAGGAATCGAACCCAGGGTCTCATGCATGCAAGACAAGCACTCTACGACTGAGCCACCTTCTCAGCCCCCTTCTCCCATTCTTAAAGGAAGCTTTTCCTACCTGCTTCTCTGCAGTGAGTGTGTGCTCCTTAGAGGAATGGACCATATCACAGAAACTTTTTTTTAAAATCTAACCGGAATGAAACAGATCCGAGTCATGGGCCAGGCACTAGAATAAGTGTTTAATTCTATTGAATGTAAACTTGCTTATCTAAGAGTTTAGACAACTGGACAATAAATAAAGGTATTCAATGTGATCATATGGTTGCCAAAGTAGGAAAACGACTTTGGTTTTTGAATATTTTCACATATCCCCAATTGAATAATATATTTAAGCCCCCACGACTTTATCTGCCAGCAGTTAAATCAGTTTTGCTCTCAGCCCATCAACTGTATGATAATAACGATCCTTTACACAATATTATTTACTATGAAAAATTTCATTGAATGCACACGCACACATACACCAATTAGAGAGCATTTTGTTTTGCCACTACTGTCCCTATTTCCCTGGTGATCAAACTGAGCTTCAGAGAGAATTGATTTTCCTTGAGAAAACTGGAATTTAATCCAGGATTATGGCTTCAACTGCATTCCTGTATTACAGAATTTATTCCATTGTTTCATAATTACTCATTTTGTCTGTTTATAACTCATTTTTCCTATTGTCTAGTAATATCTAGCATCCTGTATATTATTACATATGTTGACAGATGTCATAAATTCATATATAGTTTAAGTTATATTACTAAGAACCATTTGACTCAAACAGAGGCATGGAATGAACATTTTAACACCTTTTTTCTCTATATATTTTGGATCATGAAGTGTCTTCATCCTTGTCAACTTGATATTGTGTCTCTTAAACTTTTACCTAAAGAGAGATAATTCCTTCATTGTATACTCTACGTCCATGACACAGCTCCATGTAACACTTAACACATTCCTGTCATTAGGTGTTCCACAGCTGTAGAAAGGATAGCTGTCAGCATTCCAGGCACTGGGAACAGGGAATCAAAGTGAGCTCTGAGTGGCTGGTAATGAGGCAGGGGTAAGCAAAACAACAAGATTTAGGCAAGCTCTAAGATAAACCATGCAATGTGTTTTTATAGAGTACTGTTTCAAAGCAACCAGGGCCACATAGATACTCCCCAATTGCTTTGCAAAGGGAGTTTTACAAAAATCCAGCTCTCAGTTCTCCACTTCCTTTGGTGTTCCTCTCTGATCAGCTTCCAGTCATAAGGCCCTTCTTTCCTGAATAACCTTTCTCTCACAATACAAGAAAAACTCTTCCCCTTCCCAAATAAGACAAAGTCTCACTGTGGAATGTTACCAGTGAACAGGAGTAGCAGGCTACAGAAAGGCAGACACGGACAAAACAAGGACAAATGGGGGAGAATTATGAAAGAGATGACACTAATCAAGAAGCATTGTACTCATAAACTTATATGTTGAATTGAAAACCCTTTGTTTCAATTCAGGATGATAAAACCTACTAAAGGATAACTAAAATATTAAAAATATTGATGAAAATATTGAATGTCCGTCCAAATGGTGTTATGGAAAATTCAGTACACCTAATCTACTTCCATTCTTGCCTGAGAAGAAGTCATGCAAGATCCAAGCATAGTAAAAATGAGAAACAGAAAGCATGGTCTGAGAATGCCATGATAAAACAGCATTTCAACCCATCCTCAATCATCTTCTTGGGGGTACAAACATTGACCTAATCTGGAAATTAGCAGCTTTACTCAGTGTGGCCCCCTCTGCTCTCTTTTCTCTTTTCTCTTTTTTTTTTTGAACTTAGGCATCTTTGAGTCCTTTTATCATTCATAGACGCTTTCATGTCAGTTTATACTTTTGTGCTTTACTACACACATTCTTCATTCTTCCAGCCATGCATTTCTCCTGCCTTGTGCACAAATGCTTCTCCGTAATTTCACAATCTGTGTCACAGTTGTACCATTTTCCAAGCCTAAATCATTGATTTAGGTTATTTGCATCCCTCTCTTCCCTTCAGACGTCTATCCTCTGCCTCAGTCATCATTTGGACCTCCAGTGTTCCCACAGTGCCTGACACATACTACAGTTCTCCATGGGTACTTGTTGGGGGAATACCTCACAATGAAGCCACAAATACTCGTAATGTGGATTTGTTGCAAATTAGATGTGCAAGCGAAGAATGTATCATGAACAACATCCTTCCCACCTTGTCAGCAGACCTCACATGTGAGCAGTTCCTATGCTGTTCTTTGCTAGAATGGACTCACATAGCCCTCTGTGTAAATTCACATAACTGGCCAGTCTGAGCTTGTGGAACCCACTTTGACTTTGTCACACAGCTGAGAGAAGGCAAAACGGAAGAAGATACTTGTTCTAGTGATTCCTTTTTGAGTAATGCAATGGCTGCATCATTAGGCAGGTCTGCTCTTAGGGATTTTGTTTTTATCTTACTATCTCCATTCTGTTTTCTACTCTCTTTTCTTTAGCAGGTAAATATGTCTATAATTATGTGACTTAGGAAGAAGGGCATAATTCCTCCTGGATCTTTTGGTGTTTAGAACATGGGATTGGTCTCAGACTCTGTGTGATATTTCCAGTGGAGCACATGTGTCTTTCCCCTGCACCATGCTATGCTTTTTTACTTTTTCTTCCTGCAGGGATTGTTTCCATAACCACCCTCACTGTGCTGGCCTATGAACGTTATATCCGTGTGGTCCATGCCAGGGTGATCAATTTCACCTGGGCCTGGAGAGCTATCACCTACATCTGGCTCTACTCACTAGCCTGGGCAGGAGCACCACTCCTGGGCTGGAACAGGTACATCTTGGATATCCATGGACTAGGCTGCACCGTGGACTGGAAAGCCAAGGATGCCAACGATTCCTCCTTTGTGCTCTTCCTGTTTATTGGCTGCCTGGTGGTGCCAGTGGGAATCATAGCCCATTGCTATGGCCACATTCTGTATTCCATACGAATGGTGAGTTGACACTACATATATCTCTCCCAAAACAGTGCCCTGGGTATACATTTTGGGTGGAAAAAAATACCATCGCCATAATCAGTAGTTGACCAGTGACTCTAGGACTTCCCATTTAGTAGAATTTTGCCCTATGTGTTACTTCCAGAAAACATCCATGATTAATAACATTTACTCTTTCTCTCTCTCCCTCTGAAATGTACAAAAGGGCAGTGGATTCTAGACAGACATTAGCAGAATAATCTCACATTATTCAACACTCCTAAAATTTAAGAATTCTAATAAAGGCAATTCTGTGTGTCCCATAATTTCATTTATTTAAAGATCACATGAACCCACTGTAAAAGAATGGCCCAGATGCTTTGTCTAAAAAGTACATTAGAGGCATAAATGAGTAGAACTGGTCACAGACAGGTTTCATGTTAGGAGGTAACAGCAAAGATGTTTGAAGCAAGCAACAGAGAGAGTGTCTTCCACATCCCAGTCTCTCACTTCAGCCACGTGGGGCTTCCTTCCTTACTGCTTCTACCCCATCCATTCTCCATGCTCACAATGATATTCCAGCCCCTTGCTCACTCCCAGCAGACCCCTCTAGCTTTCACCTTTATTTCAAATTAAACTTAGTTCCATCCACCTCTACTTTTTATTCCTTTTGTTTTTTTTTCTTGTAATGCTGCAGATCAAACCAAGACATCTCACATACTGTGTAATGCTCGACTATGCATTTCTATAATTTTATTTTTAGTGCTTTCTTGGTTTGAACTAAGGGTCATGTGCTTGCTAGGAAGGCAGCACTCTACCATTTCAACCACATCCTGGCCCTGCTATGTTTTGATTATTTTTAGGTAAGGTCTCTCAGATTTTGCCCAGGGCCAGCCTCAGATCTGATTCCACCACCACCTTCCCACACGGCTGGGCTAACAGCACAGGCCACCATGACAGCTTGTTGGTTGAGATGAAGGCTCACTGACTTTCTCCAGGCTGATCTCAAACCATAATCCTCCAGAGTCATTTTTCACTTATATTTTCAATCTCTCTCTCATGATTAGCTCTTTCCTTTTAATTATTGCTGTGGATTTAAAACTTAAAACAAATCCTTCAGTTCCTATTAAATTCACTTTATTCCTCTCCTTAACTGTTGTGGGCTGAATGTTGTGTCCCTCTCAACTTCTGCTTCCAGTGTGATGATGCTTAGTGAAGTAATTAGGTTAGTAATTAGTAAATTAAGTTATGAGCCTGGGACTATGGTCTGATGGGATTATTATCCTTATTTGATCCACCAGAGTTATCCTCCACCCTCTTGTTAAATAAGAAGTCATAGGAGCATACCACTTAGAAGCAAAGAGAGAAAGCAGAATGCTAACTACCTTGTTAGCAACTTATCTTGTACTTCTCAGCCTCTAGAACTACGAGAAATGACTTGGTTGAAGCTTAAAAGTTATTAGCTGACTACATTCATCCAGCATTTATTCCTCAATCTTTTGTAAGTTGGCACCTCCTTCATCTTCTACCACCTGCCGAAGTAGTGCTCATTTGAGATCACCGAGGATCTCTCACCTGTGGGAGATCCAATACACACATTTCAGTTTCATTATTATCTCTCACCTGTGGCATTTGAGACTTGGTGATTTCCACTTTGTTAGGACTTTCTCCTCCCATTGATACATGGACCCCATTTCCTGCTATATTTATTGACTCCAGGGATGCTTCTCCCCCTCTTCTCCCAGTTCATGTCCTCTACCTCCTCCTCCCTTGTCCTCATCCTCCTCCTCCCTCGTCCTCTTTTTTTTTGGTCGGTCGTGGGGCTTGAACTCTGTGCTTGGGCACTGTCCTTGCACTTTTCAGCTCAAGGAAAGCGCTCTACCGCTTGAGCCACAGCACCACTTCCGGTTTTCTAGTGGTTTATTGGAGATAAGAGTCTCACAGACTTTCCTGCCCGGGCTGGCTTTGAACCGTGATTCTCAGATCTCAGCCTCCTGAGTAGCTAGGATTACAGGTGTGAGCCACCAGCACCCGGCCTCCTCCTCTTTTTCTTCTCTTTTTCCTTCTTTCCTCTCTTTTCTTCTTAATTTATGAGATAGGGTCTCACTGTGTAGCCTAGACTGGCATCTCTATGTAGCTGAGGTTGGTCTTGAACTTACCATCTTGCTTTAATCTCCCAAGTTCTAGGATTACTGGCGTGCATCACCATGTCCAACTTTGGGGCTTCGTCTTCTGGTTTGATAGTGCTGTGGTTTGAGCTCACAGCCTCATATTGCTAGTCAGGCTGTCTACCACTGGGCCATGCCTCTGGCTTGGCTTCATATTCAAATATCTTCTTCAAGGATTTTTCTTTCTTGGGTGATTCTAGGAATCTTTGCTTAATTATCTCTTGTTTGCACAGTGACCCTGGTAATCTCATACACTGCCAGAAGTTTTTCTAAAGCTATTGACTTTTTCAAAATAACTGTTTCCAATCCAGCTCTTTCCTATGACCTCTATGACCTCTATTAGATTAACATAGTCAATTGTCTATTGGATATCTCCACTTGGTCCATAGATTTGTCAAACTAAATCATATGAAGATTAATTTGCTGTCATCTCCTCCACTAATTCCAAGACTCCTCCATCCCTTCTTGTTGAGTGGCCCTCATTTCTAGCTTCATAACCCAGAAATTAAGGAGTCATCTTCAACTATTATTCACCCATCCCCCTATACTCAAATAATGACCAATTCTTATCTAGTTGAAGATTTTTTTTCTATACGTTATTCTTTCCCTCTCCCATGGACACAGGCTCTATTTAAAAAGGCCTTGAGTTCTTCCTTGTTGCTTCCTCTATTCTACTCTGTCCACTGCCACTAGAGAATGTGTTCTCAACTATATCCTGCAGGGGTTCCATTGTTTTAGTGACTGAAAATAAGGTATGAAGTAAGGCTAATCTGTCTTATGTAGTATCTCCCATTTGCCAGTCCAGCCCCATTTATTGGCACATGTATCCTCTTGCCCCCAGACTCCAGCCCACCGTCTCCTTTCCTGGCTAACCCCTCCTCCCCTTAGAAGGCTGGTGTTGATGTTTTCTTGCTCTAACACTCACTCAGGTTTGCCTATTCACTCCCATATCCTTCTCTGGACCCCTACTGGAGCTGTTGTCTGTACGCCTCTCTCCCTCATCAAACAATGAACTCATCAAGAGCAGAAACTGAGACGTATGATTTTTCTTAACTGTAAGGCGGACCAGAACCTACATGTACCAGATGGTCAATGACTATCTTAGGAATGCGTTACAAGGAGAGAGTATAGAGAAAGGAAGACAGAGGAAGGGGGTAAAAATGTAGAGACTTCACTTGTAATGGTCCATGCTATTATTTCAACAGAAAAGTTGTCTCAAGTCACTTGCCTGAATTTCCTTATTCAGAGAGGGGTGACTAGAGACAGCAATGAAAGACTTAGCTACTCCTTGAGAATGAGGACTGTGTGGAACCTGTGAATATCTACAGGTGCCTGACACACGTTCTAAGTAGCGGTCACTTCTAGAAGGAATCTTAACTAATTTGTCATAAAAGTGGTTTACTTTAGAATGAATGTGATGATAATGTGCTCTTGCTTCATCCATATGACAGTGTTGCTCAAAATATGAAATAAAGGATGTGGGCCACAAAGTAGGGCTCTTTAGGAATGCTGAATGAACATAATGAAGGGATAAGAGTTATGAAAGAAACAAAAAGGCTAAGATAAAGAGAAAAATAAAAGACAATCACCAAAATTTCACATTTCCAATCTAAGTAATTCGCTTATAGCAAAAAGCATCTGGGAAAGTATAGACCAACATATGCTTCAGTTTTGAGCTGATAGATAAGCATTCTACTCAGAGAAGACTAGGGCTAACACTAGATGGAACCTAGATAATGATAGCGTAGAGAGTATGTAAGTGAGATGCACGTATATCTTAGTTAATTGAGACTAAAGAGTCAAAAATGGTGATCCCACATATCCTATAGAAACGAAAGTACACATATACAGGCAACTATGTTCATTTCAAATACATTTCAGTAAGCATTTAATCTCAAAAGCAATCCTAAAGTTATATAAATGGTACTGGAAACCAGCTTCAGTTAATTTTCAGTAATGGGATTTGAACTTAGCTCCCCCCCCCCCCCCCCCGCTTGTCCCAGGTAGGCATTCTATTGTTGAGCCTCTGGCCCATGCTTCTGTTAATTCTAATGGGGTATGCCCTTAAAGAGGGTAATTGGCTTTCTCAGCATCACACTGGGGATAAAAGTAGGAAGTTTAAGGTATGAGTCCAGATCTTTGGATTCCAAATATGCAGCTTTTACCAGAACCCTAAATGGGAATTAGGCCCCTTTGCTCCTAAAATGTTTTGAAAACAGAATGACACCCTATCACATTCAATAAAATACTTTTTTCTAAAATAGAATTGTACACACATATCAATACTATCAGAAATGTAAAGTCATGCCTTAATCCTCTATAATCTAAAAGATCATTTTAATTTCCATGCTTCTCTGTATTAGTTGCCCATTGGGAAACATAATTTTAACAACAATATAGTTTCTTAAATATAATTTTGGATGATATCAATAGCTTAGGAATATCAGCTAAAGTGTGTGTGTGTGTGTGTGTGTGTGTGTGTGTGTGTGTGTGTGTGTGTGTGTTAAATACCATCAGCACATGCTTTAAATAATTTATTTGGAAAAAAGTTCTCCCCCTACTTTTTTTCTGGTGGTTGTGGGGTTTGAATTCAGGGCGTGGGCACTGTCCCTGTGCTCTTTTGCTCAAGGCTAGTGCTCTATCACTTTGAGCCACAGCTCCACTACTGGTTTTATGGTGGTTAACTGGACATAAAGAGTCTCACAGACTTTCCTGTCTGTGCAGGCTTTGAGCCACTCAGATCTCAGCCTCCTGAGTAGCTAGGATTACAGGCATGAGCCACCAGTGCCTGGCTAAAAATTCCCTTAAGTTTTATGATGAGGCTAGAACTAAAAGGTAAAAGCTTTTTGAATTATAATAAATTTCCCAGTTTAAAATTATGAATATGACTATCAACAATTTTAGGTACCCTTTAAGAAACAATTATTAATGCATGTCTTTTATAACAAAATTAGTATAACCTCTTGCTATATTTGGAAATAACTTTTATTTAAAAATACTGTGTGTGTGTGTATGTGTGTGTGTGTGTGTGTCAGTTGAGAGGCTTGATTTCAAGACCTGGGTGCTGTTCCTGAGTTCTTTTGATCAAGGCTAGCACTCTACTACTTTGAACCATAGCTCTACTTCCTAAAAATGTATTTTTTGTGTGCAGGGATATTCTTTCCCTTTTGTTAACAACACAATTATGATAAGAAAAGAATATACAGAATTTATCTGAAGAACTCAAAGAACTCTCTAGTTATGGTCATTGCTCCTCAATAATGTTGACGAGGCCACACTCAGAGAAGATGAACTGATTTCAGACAGATGGGAGTCTCTGAGTGTGCCAAGCACCACGCCATCCCCACAGTTCAACTCCTGATGAAACCAAACACAAGTTTCATATCAAATCCCACTTTATAGTTACCAGCAATGAAAAACACAATGGTTTCTAGGAAAAAACGGATTTAGGATTGAGTGCTCATCAAGATCAATATAGGCATAGCCATGCAGAACCTTATACATGAGTTTGTGACCTGCTTGGAGAATTTCCAGATTAGCATTCTGGATGAAAGAGTTTCCAGTATGCAGAATTCCCTTCCATTTTATGGTGACTCAGACTGTCTCATAAAACTTCAAGATTAAGGCAAATCATTTATTTCATCTTTTTTGAGTAAATTAGAAAAGCTTTAAAAATTATTACAGAATTTAAGAGGTTACTTAGCTTACCTACAGTTTATCAGAGCTGAGGAGATGGGAAATCAGAAAGATGAAGGTTGGGCACACTTATGGGGTTTGGAGCAAAAGTCAGCAATCCAATGTTCTGTCCAGTTCTCTTTCCACTGAAGCTCTTTCCACTAAAACAACAGAATCCTGAGCAAGAATCATGACTGCATATCTGTCATCAACAACAGTCAACCCTTCCTTTCTCCTTTCTTCAGCTTCGTTGTGTTGAAGATCTTCAGACAATTCAAATAATCAAGATTTTACAATATGAAAAGAAATTGGCCAAAATGTGCTTTTTGATGGCCCTCACTTTCCTCATGTGCTGGATGCCTTATATCGTGACCTGCTTCTTGGTGGTTAATAGTCATGGTCACTTGGTCACTCCAACAATATCTATTGTTTCTCACCTTTTGGCTAAATCAAGCACGATATACAACCCAGTTATTTATATCTTCATGATCAGAAAGGTAAGCTTTGTCATTAAGCCACTGTTTATACCCTGGGTGGGGGGAATATGTCTTTATAGAAAAATTTCAGAACAGCTTCAGTGATGGAAAATCAAATCAAGAATTTGATAGAAAAGGAAATGATACCAGACAGGGTATAGGCTATTACCAAAATAATAGCTCTGTGCTATTAATAGAGGGATACACTTTTTAGGTAAAATATTATTAAAATTATCCTTAATTCATCAAAAATATTTTATGTTTATCACTAAGTTATTAAATTAAAAACAAGTTTATACATTTACCTCTTATTGAACTATGCAGCATACTCATTAATTTTACCATGAAGCATATGCTAATCTTACTCTTTATCTGTAGGTTATGAAAGGAAGGACTAGAACCTTAAATATTTTAGGTATAGTCATCGATAATTTAGTGTGCCTTTCTCCCAATGAGGGGGCTCTAATCAATGCTTCTAACCTTTATGTAAAGTATAATAAAAAGTACATGGCACAGTTTGGTATCTCTGCGTACCCAACACACATAGACCTAATGTTCTGGTTCCTGAAAACACACTTCTAAAAAGTTACAACAAATAAAAGCAATCATTAAGACACTGGGTCTGGTTCACAATTTTTAGGAGAAAACATTTTTTGGCCCATATACTCAACCCTTACAATAATACATCTTTAGCACTACACTGGACTTACCAAACAATGGTTTGATAAATTCACACTCAAACAAATAACTCTTTTTAAATTGAATATAAATTAAATGCTAATTATAGGGACTGTTAAGGGGTAAGTGACTCATGACCATGTATAGCACATGTAAATAGAAAGTTAATTATTCCTTCTGTTTAGATCAATGTTTGATGCATGAGCTTTCCCAGATGAAGGAAAATCAGTAAAAATACCACAGATACATACATCCTTTTTGTTTGTTTGTTTTTGTTGTTTTTTTTGTGGATCATGGGGTTGAGCTCTGTGCCTGGGCACTGTGTCTCAGCTCTTCAGCTCAAGGCAAGTGCTCTACCACTTGAGTCACAGCGCCACTTTTGGTTTTCTTAGAGATAAAACTCTCACGGACTTTCCTGCCCCAGCTGGCTTTGAGCTGCGATTCTCAGATTTCAACCTCCTGAGTAGCTAGGATTACAGGAGTGAGCCACTCACTTCTGCTTTCTTTAACTTCTTCACATAGCAATTTAGCTTAATCATTTTTTCTTGAATGTGAATCCAGATGAGGAGCCAGATGTTTACTTAATAACCTTTCTGTTCTCTCAGTTTCGAAGATCCCTCTTGCAGCTCCTATGTTTCCGGTTGCTGAGATGCCAGCGGCCGGCCAAAGACCTACCAGCGGCCGGAAGTGAGATGCAGATTAGACCCATTGTGATGTCACAGAAAGATGGGGACAGGCCAAAGAAGAAAGTGACTTTTAACTCTTCTTCCATCATTTTTATCATCACCAGTGATGAATCTCTGTCAGTTGATGACAGTGTCAGAAGCAGTGGGTCCAAAGCTGATGTAATCCAAGTTCGTCCTTTGTAGAAATGAAAGATGGAGCCTTGGATTGGACACTGTGTTTGGATTTCCATTATAAGGATTGTTCTAGAATCCCCATTCGATATAATATGAACAGAACTTTTATGGCCCAGCAGGATATGGGGACTGCCATATGTTCTGTGGACTCATGAAGTGATAGTGAGGCAAATTGTTTTAATTCAATAGGTGCTTTACATGAAGAACCACTTATGGTACCATCATCTTCTAATGTGGTGGAATTTCCATTTAAAAATATTTTTAAGTGACTCTATTTGCCAAAGCACATCATTTTCCTCAAAGTTATTTCACTCTAAAAATAGTGTCTCATAAACACATGTGAAATAACAGATGTCTGTGTTTTCTGTGATGTTGGATTTTATTCAGTGTCATATTGTGTGTCTGACCAAATTTAGTTTCTTACGGAACTAATTCTGGAATGAAAATCCCTATCTTTAAAACAAAAGGCTGTTGTTACAAACACATAGTTTAAACACATGATAAAAAGGAAATTCACATGAATAGGCTGCTGAGCAAGCTCCAGAAGATGCAAGTAAGAAGCATCAGAACCAACAGAATAGGATGACTTCAGGGTAGCTGTGGTATATGGTTAATTCTGTAGTAGACAACACCCATGAGAAAGGTAATGATGATGGTAGTTGGTTACATTTCAAATGTGAGTGTGACAGGTGTTTATTTTTCCTTTTAATAATTTTTCACATTTTTGACGAGTTCTGGATTTAGAAAAGGAGTGCTCAGTAAACAAACATATCTGAAGATGAAAAGTGTTCAAGTGTATTCATAAGAAGTGTTATTTATTCTTCATTTCTTATCAGTCAGTCCACAGGAAGGGCAAGGTAACCACCAGGGACAACTCTGGGCACCTTCCAGCAGAGAGATGATGCCAAAGGAATCAATGTAACAAACTCCCTACTTATTTGCCTTCCTGCAAGTTGTTGTCCTCAAATTCTCAATGTCCTTTTCCTTTTTCTGGTCACTTCTCTAGTTATTTTCCTTTGTTAAAGATGCTGCATACACCAGGGAGTGTTAAACTTGCTCTTTGAGCTTTACTTATTCTGTGGGTGTTTCCCACATACACATGGAATGTGTACATGTTCATACACTTCTATTTGTTTTTTTCTCTTATCCATCTGTGTTTCATTATGGAATGAACCTAAGGTAGAACAAGGCAAAAGTTATTTCTCCTCCCCTAGACATGAAATATTAGGACTCAAGAATGCCTTTGACAATACAGAAAACACTGAGTCATTAATTTTATTGCCTAGTTTTTATTTCTTACATAACTCTCCTAGTGTTATCTCATTCTAATTAATCATATTTGAAGGACTTATAAGTGATTCATCAGCCTATCGAGGAAGTAAGAACCAAAAAAAATTATTTCACCAAATTCCCTTGTGAAAATCAATCTTATGGCCAATTCTGCCACCACATGTAGTTCAAGAATAAGCTAGTAATAAGCACTAAATTGCTTCTGGGGGTCTGAAATGAAATAAAATATGACTTCATATTTCTGTAAAACTTATCTCTCTGTTTCCTTTCTGCTCTCGTGTATGTAGATATTTGCTTTGTAAATAAAATCCTTTCTTATCCTTCATTTAGTATGTCATTAGTGGCCTTTTCCTTTAGAAGGTATTTAAAGACTAATAAATAAAACATTCATTCTGGAACTCTTTGGGACTCTACTGAATACCTGCTTTACCTATATGACTGACAAAAAAATCATCTTAAAATAGTTGTTTAAAAGAGTTCCAATTCAATACATCAGTTTATGAGTTCCAAACATCCATCAATGTCACTCTTCCTCTCCCCGCCTTTTTTTTTTCAGTTGTGGGGCTTGAACTCTGGGCCTGGGCGCTGTCCCTCAGCTTTTCAGCTCAAGGCTAGCGCTCTACCACTTGAACCGAAGCGCCACTTCCAGTTTTCTGTTTGTTAATTGGAGGTAAGAGTTTCACAGACTTTCCTGCCCAGGATAGCTCAGCTTTCTGAGTTGTTAGGATTACAGGTGTGAACCATCTGTGTCTGCTCTTCCTTTCTCCTTGATCTCTCCCAGTGTCACCCATCCCTCAAGCTACTGGGTTCCATTTTCACAAATGTTCACTAAATGCTAGGATTTTTCTCTCATCCTTTAGCATCTGCCTCATTCCCCTTGATCTCCCCCACTCCTGATGTCCCAGCTTCCTAGCATTTGTTTTCTGAAACTGTAAGTTAGTTGTTCATAGGCGTTGTACCATAGGAGTTGTCCCTGAATATATCATAATTTATTCAATTTGTGTATAGCTACACATGACTTTATATAAACTGATGTTTTTCAAGTGAGCCTGTGAATGAGACAAGTTCCCTCTAGATGATGAAGTGGTCTGTACTCCACAGGGTTGTGTCTCAATACTGTTGTGAGTCCTGTTAGGTCTTTAAAGAAAACGCATAAACGGTAAAGTCCTGCTGGGGCCTTATTTTCTAAGAAGTGAAAACAATCAGCCACTGAAATTTCAAATTTAAATGTAGAATTCTGCATGCATGATGTGGAGGGGAAGCTGTGGGTTTGCAAAAAATAGCTGTGGATTTCCCCCTATCAATTGCAAGTAACACAGTCTACATTATGTTAATTATACACAGATAACTGTCTTCCAGCAATGAATTAAATATGGTGATGAAGCCATCCTTTTTCTGATCCTTGATTTTGGTGTCAGAGAAATCACACATTTTTTTACTTTGGGATCTTTCTATCACTGCCAGTGAATGGGAGGATTTATTGTAGTGACTGCATGGAGTTTGAAGGAAAACGTGCCCCATATTGCAGGAGTAGGCTGTTCCAGTTCCATGGCAGTCTTAAGTAGTGTAGAGGTCTCCAGGACAGGTGTTGCACAAGGAGGTATGCACTACCAATGGCCACCAGGGATCCAAACATACAGAGTCCTTTGTTTATCACCTGCAAGGACAGCAAGAATCTGTACCATCCAGAGATTGAGATTCTATACCTCGACTTTCCACTTACACAATTTCCTCTCCATCCTTTATCCTGAAACAGACACTGAACTGTTTGATTTCTGATTGAGACCATACCTTATTGTTCTGCCTTCTGTCCTGCCATTATCTCTTTGAGGTCTGTGACCCAATTTTGTTCATTTGAGAGTAGATAAATCTTGATCATGGCCTAATGATTCTCCACACAACAAAATGATCTGTCTAAAATTCAAATGGAATTGCTGAGCTTTCTTTGGATCCTTTGTTTCTCTTAAGCTAATACTTAGGATGCTAAAGGCCCAGCCCACCTTTCCAGCCATCTCTCTGTTTATTCTCACCCCTATGTGCTGGCTTCCATTTCACTGAATTGCTTATTCTTTCTATTGAAGCCTGTTGCTTATATTACTTCAGCCTTTACCTGTATAGCCCAATTCCCTGTCTCCCCAGGAGCTGTAAATCTCTAAACACCATAGCTGTCCATCTTCCCTAATAGCCTCTGAGCTATTAGGGTTGGGCCTGAATCTTGTCCATCACTGTTCTCAGTATCCATGAATTCAATCAAACTATTGTTAAATGAATGAAAGGAGTTATAATCTTAAATTGGCTAATCACCAATCAGAATCCCACTTAATGGCATTTAGATTAGCTGCCCAGTGCATTGCATTAGGATCAAATAGTGTTTGCATTGGAATTGGTAATTCAGTTTTGTTGGAGTTTTTAAAAATAATTTAAACCCATAAAAACATTTTACAATGCACATGTCAGGAATGGATCACATTCTAAAATAAAGAGCTGAATGAAATAGGAATGTCAGTTTCTTTTTTGAATCTCTTCAGAAGTTTTTTCTATCTCCCTCTTCCTTTCTCTTTCTCCTTGTCCTTTATATTTCTCTCTCTCTGCTTCTGCATAGTTGTTCAGTTTTCCCTCTGTCTTCTGTACATAGAAGAGTAGTTTTTTTGGTTTGGATAGCAAACATTTGGTATATTTCCTGTAATTTCTGTATTCTTATAAAACAAATATGACCTCAACACTACAACACTTTACCACATCATATTTTTATTGTACTAATGTAACTTATTCCGTTAAAAACAAAAGAAAGAAATTAATTGTCTAACCTTGTTTTGCCAATGCCAGCGCTGCACTGCCTCATGGTATCTTATTCTGGAAAAAGTGACCTGTCAGGACATTTAAGACATATTTGTGTGTATTCTTAAATAGTTAAGCAAGCATTTCAAACACAGTAAAGTCTTTGACCAGACCTTACCATTGTATACAGAGGGATAAAGGTAGATGGCATAATAGCATGAAGAAATCTCTCTAAGTTCTTTCGAAAAATGAACCACAAGGAGTTGACATGGGACCGCATCTGCAATGACGGGAAAAAATTCTTTAAAAATAGCTGAATTAATTTGCTTCCAACAACTAATCATTACTCTTCATTCCCACTCATCACAATGCTGTACACAAAGTAGGCAAATTCCCACTTCCACGATAGTTATTTGAATTCCTTCAAAGAAATTTCAGTAGGTTAAATGTACAGTGATTAACATGAAACTTATCAGCAGGATCTGGTTTGCTCAGCGATCAGCATAGGAGCTCTATTTTCCCAAAGAATTTGTTCATCAGATTTATAGATGATGTGTGAACTCAGTTTAGACCTCTTTCTGTTGCTTCCTGGCTGGTTTATCATACTGTTTATGACAACAAGGAATTTCTTTTAAAGCATGTGTGTCTCAATCTAATATTCCTTATCAGGACCCATATTGTGTTACTGTAGCTCCTTTGTTTTAGACTTAGGCAATATATAGCAATAAACTCTTCCATTCTCTTCTAGAACTTCTCTTCACAAGCATGATACAGTTCCACTAAAATTGGTGACCATTTTATTTCTCTTTGAGAGAAGTGAAAAACAGTGACTTTTCCTCAAATAATTAGCCTATAGATTGTTGTTAGTTTGAGGATTGCTAAAACCCATCCTCCTCCTGCTTCAGCCCCCGAAGGGCTCAGCTCTATCTTGTAGATTTTTCATTCCATTATTTATAAAACTATAATCACAACCACTTGAGATCTTGTCATGTGACTCATTCATAAATGGAAAGAATAGGCATTTCTTTAAATGCATATTTAACGCATTTCTTTTGGACCACTAATTTCTTTAGAATTATGCACTTTTTTTAGTACATAAGACTTCAAAGGATAATATTCCATGTGTCTTTAAATATGCAGGTTTATTGTGAACAATGGAAAGGTAATTTAATGTTTCTTATATTTTCATATTTTAGTACTTATTGTATTCTGTTTTATTTGTATAATATTCATTTTCATTTAATACTTAATTTTAATTGTAACATTTTAATATTAATTTCATTCTTATATTTTATAATTATATAAACACAGCCCAAAAGATAATTTGGAGATAACACAAAATTGTATTTGAGGATGTGTTAATACGTTTTCATTTATTTTTCTAAATGTTTAAGGTATGAACCTATGAGTAATTAAACATTTTGTCATTTCTGTTGATTCTTAAATGTCCCATTAGTAAAGATTGAAATAATGTGTGTTAAAGAGGGGTAGTTATTGTCACTAGCTACATAATCAGAGCACCATGCTTTAGGAATGCTGTGTGTGTGTGTGTGTGTGTGTGTGTGTGTGTGTGTGTGTGTGTATTCTTATCCACATCCACTCACGCAGCATGCAATAGATGGGACTCAGCAAAGAGGGGAGAAAAGAATTGCTTATCTGGAAGTGAAGCATTTCAGAGAAGAGGGTCAAACTTTCCTTACCTCTACATAATTGTACATAGACAGGTCTGAAATTGCATGGTCATCTGGAATCCTAAATCTTGAGAATTCAGGAAGACACATACCTAGAAACCAAATTAAATAATACATGCTCTTAAAACAATGTACAAAAATATGCCCGATTCTATGTAAGTCAAGTGAAAATGGTATATTCACTACCAATATTCTCTCTAATATTTTCTCAAGTATAGAAAGCATACTGTGTGACTTAGAAGCTGTGATTATTAGTATTTTCTGTCAGTCCTGGGGCATGAACTCAGGGTCTGAATGTTGTGCTTGGGCTTTTTGGCTCAAGGCTAGCACTTTACCACTTAAGCCCCAGCTCTACTTCTGGCTTTTTGGTAGTTATTTGGAGATAAGAGTCTCATGGCCTTTTCTACTTGGGTTGGCTTCAAACTGTGATCCTCATGAACTCAGCCTCCTAAGCAGGTAGGATTACAGGTGTGAGCTACCAGCTCCCACCCAAGTTGTGATTACTGAGCAATGCCCATACTATATTTTTGTTGCCATAAAGCTAGAATATATTTGTTGAATTGAAACCTGTTTGCACAACTAAAGATAACTAAAAATTAAAAATTAAATAAATAATAAAATTAATTGTTGTAGTAAGATTACACTTGTTGGTTGGTTAAAAAAAAGCATAATTTTCTTTGTTTCAGAGATGGCAATGGGTTCTTATAAACCACTGTAAGTAACCCTTAACCCTGCCCACTTGTTTCATTGCACTACACATACACACTTCATCTGTTTGAATACCCATCTTATGTTATTTGGTGAATGCCTAGAATACAGGTTCCATGTCTTCTTCATATTTAACATTTTAAACTGGTTTGTTGCTAGTCATTTAGCAAATGACTAGCAAGTAAACAACCAAACAACTTCACCTTTTAAAAATGCTGTTTACATAGTAAGAAAACTTGTGCTGAAGTTCCAGCTTTGCTATTTCCTGGCTACATGACTGTAAGCAAGTTAATTAACTATCTCCAATTCCGCACCTGTAAAATGAGGACACAACTAGTATCAATGATGCTTTGGGGGAGGACAAAAGGAGATAATTTGAAACATAACAAGATACCCCACACATGTCAAATGTTCAGTGATGTTATTTATTCTTCTTTTTCTCAATTATTATTGTTTTAATCTCTACTCTCAAGTATTCAAAACTAGGGATGACAGTATGTTCTGCTACAGAATCCCAAACCAATTAACTGAAAGCTAAAAGGGGAAAAATAACACCCTCTTGTTTCTGAGCATTGTGTGTATAACTGGGAAAAAGAGAAGAGAGGAAGAAAAGCTAGAAGGAGAAGGAGAATGAAAGGAGGTGGAGGAGGAGGAGAATGGAGGAGGAAGAGAATGGTGGAGGAGGTGGAAAAGAAGAAGGAGGAGGTGAAGGAGGAGAAGAAGAAGAGGAGGGTAAGTAGGAGGATAAGAAGGATGAAGGGAGAGGGAGAAAGAGAAGTGGGAGGAGGAAGAGGAAGATGAAGAGGAAGAAGAGCCATCTTTTAGATCCAGGCACCTGCGTACTTTCTAGATAATACAATGCACATATACTACAAGCTTTATTTATTTATTTGTTTGTTTGTTTTTGTCCATCATGGGGTCTGAACTCTAGGTCTGGGCGCTGTCCCTCAGTCTTCAGCTCAAGGCTAGTGCTCTACCACTTGAGCTACAGTGCCACTTCTGGCTTTTTCTGCTTATGTGCTGCTGAAGAATCGAACCCAGGGCCTCACGCATGTGAAGCAATCACTCTACCACCGAGCCATATTCCCAGCCCACTACAAGTTTTTATGACTTTTTTCACGCTAAATCTTTACATGAATGAGTCACTTTTATAGCCTTTTCTAGAGTTTGGATTGTCCGTGTACCTCAAAAGTATATGTATAATAGGAACTTGCTATTGGGAGGTAGGGATTTCTGAGAAATCTTTGAACCACTGCAGGGTGGGGTATCTGCAAATAGGATTGTGGAACTTCTTTTCCTTCTGTTCAGGCCTGGTGGCGAATGGTTTGCTCTGCCACTTGCTCCCCATGATGGTAATACTGCCCTTCCATCGGCCCAGAGCAATCCAGTCCAATGGATCATGAACTGCAACTTACAAAACTGTGAGCCCAAACAACCACCTTTTTATCTTTGTGAGCTGATTGCCTCAAGCATTTGTTATCATAATGGAAAGCTAACTAATATAGACATTCAGGAACAAATGTTAAATAACTGCCAGTTTCCTCTCTGGGTGCTCATTGTCTGACATGGGTTCTATGTCTGTTATATCTGTTAATACAAAACTTTTAATAAACCTGGGCAGGGAATGTGTGAATGGGTTTGTGATCACAGAGGATCAAAAACAAGTTCACATTCATCAAAAAGGGTAGGCTGTGCCCAAGAGAGATATTTTACTTACTAAAATCATTATTGAATTTATCCATTAATTCATCAAATACCAAGCAGTCTTCAAAGCCCTAAACAAGAAGAAAAAGAGGAAAAGTCAACTAAAATAATTAAATTTTTTTGACAGGAATAAAACTAAATGAATGGGCTTTTTATCCACAAACAGAGCACTGCAATTGGGTTTCCAAAACCTGGTTTAGAGATATATAAAGACCATCAGCTGCACATTTGATGTGTTGTTTTTGCAAAATTTATGTTTGCAATGTTTACAATGAATTGCAAGTTGACCATGTTGTCATTGGGAGGATTAAAGAAGAATAAACATTAATGGGAAATGAGTGAAGAATATTACAATATTACACAACATTACAATATTATGAAGACAACATAAAGCCCACCAAACTCCAAGAGAAAAGTGGGGGGCTCGGAGGAGAGCAATCGGAATTTGGTGAGACTGGTAAATTTGTTCACAGTATACTGTGTACATAAATGGAAATATCACAATAAACTTGCTCATAGTAAACAATGCATGCCAACTGAAAAAATAATGATTTTAGCTGTGTGCTGATGGAGGCTGAGATCTGAGGATTACAGTTTGAAACTAACCCAGGCAGGAAAGTTGGTGAGACTCTTATTTCCAATAAACCACCAAAAAGCCGGAAATGGAACTATGGCTCAAATGACATATTTTAAAAAGAAAAACAAACAATTACATATTTCTACCATGAGCTTTAGAATTGTGTTTAAGTTGCTCAGGTCTTTGAGAGTTATATTTAGCTGGGTCTGGTGGTTCATACCTATGATACCAACATTTAGTAGGCTGAGACAGGAAGATCACAAATTTGAGGCCAATCCAAGCTATTTAGCAAGTTCTAGGCCACTTTAACAACATAGGCAGACAAAAAACTAAAAAAAGGTTCATACTTAAAACAATGTAATGATAAGATACAATTATTTGGCATCTATAATTCAAGATTAAAGCAAATTTTAAAAAATGAAGAACTCCACAAAATGTATGTTAAATGCAGTTCCCACTGAATTTCTTTGCAAGAAAATTGGAAACTATGTTTTCATTTTTCCAGTAACTCAAAGTGTAGTTTTAGAGACAATATGAATGTATATAAAATATTCTATATTGATTATAAAGATTACATCTAGAACAAGTAAATGTATTTATCTAATCAACAGTAGTATGTAGATTTTTTAGAAATAGCAGATGTTTTATTCATTTATTCTTCCCCAAAATTTGAGATATGCTTTATTAAAATCTCATTTTCCATATGTCAAATGAAAGATAAGTAAGGTGTGAAGACCATTCTGTGGTGAATGCTGGAGTCATGGCATTTTAATGCCAATCTTGGGCTCTTTCCCACTAGGTTACAATGATGTCTTCTATTTTGATTGAAATCATGGCTTTGCATTGGCAGAGGATGTGCTTGGTCACTCAAGGCACACCCCAGTCCTTTTGGTTTTATTTGATTGTTCAGATAGAACCTTGTTGCTGGCCTCAGACTTCCAGTTTTCCTGATCTTTGCCTTGAAAGTAGTAGGGAGACACCTTGCTTGATTTTATGCCTTCCTTCCCATGCTTTGTAAAACAAAATACTCATTGCTGCTTTGTGGAAAATCTGACTGAATATATACCTGTTAGTTTTCTTGCAAAATATTCTAATTTCTGAAACAATTATGCATTATAATTATTAAAATATTATATTATTATAATATAATATAAATATTATAATGATTAGACAATTTTAACATTTCTTAAACTTAGTATTTGAGTACTATTTTTCTTTCTGAAACTTCTTTCTAGCCCAGATAGTAAAATTTCCATGAAGGTGGTAATACTCAACATCTAATGTGTTTCACAGTTTTATATTTCCCTTTATGTTAGAAATAACAAGTGGAAAAGAAATGGATAATTTAGAAATCTTTTTTTTCTTTGAAGCTTGCTGTATAAATTTATGTGTATTTTCTAGAAAAGTTTTATTTTCAAATTAAAGTCTTGAACTGCTAATAACCAGCTTTCTGAATTTCAAGCTTTGATTACTTTTCTGACTAAACAGCATATGATATTATACTTTATGCATTCTTCAACATTGCATTATTGGATCAAGTTTCCACAAGCTGCTATAGTTGGCTAAGCAACTGGAATGAATGCTGACTTGAAGTATTCTTCAGTCCATATGGGGATTGTTTTGGTTAAAGTTTTATTTGAGCCTTGTTAACTAAGATGAACCTGGAAATATTTTAGAAACTTCCCAAGGGAAAAGAACTCACCGCATTCATTCCTTGCCCAAAAAATGGGACAATGGCATGAGCTGCATCTCCCATCAGCACACAGTGTGACTTCAAGTGGAAAGAAGAACATTTTATGGCTATCATGGGCTGAGCAGGCAGCAGAAAGAAATCTTGCACCAGGGCTTGTCTTCATAGAAAAAGAACAGAATGTGAAGATGTTAAATCGGATTATAAATGTTAGTGAGCATTTTCAGATTGATTGGCTTTGTTACCACACTATTTTCTGAACAATGTACAGCAACACCAGGAATAAACACCGGGAAAACTCTTGTAGTTATAGTGCTAAACTTCTACTGTTTTAATTACTTTCTTAGTTTCGGAAAAATGTCAATCACATCCCCCAAAGACAAATTTGGCAGCATTTGAATAAGGTGAAATATTTATGTCTTGTCATGAAAATATTGTTATGGAATATTCAAATATATGGATGCATTGTAGGCTTCTAAACAAATATTGAACAGATACTATTGTGCATTTGATTAGGCTACAACAAACCAAAGCTTAATTAATAGGTACACTTATGTATTTGGAGATGGACAATAGTAATCAAATTACTATTGGATAGCTTGGACTATGTGTGGTCAAAGGAGATACATTTCTAGTTGGTCTATAGGAATAAATTCATGAGCTCTATCATTCAATGTGTTGAATATAATAAAAACAAACAAAAGCCTACTAGAGGTTTATGCAACAATACACACCCTCAAGAATCTTAAGTATAGTGAGAGTGGCAATCAGCAGTCATGGGGCCATTTTTAAAATACATAAAAACTAAATTTAGGTTGCAGATTCCTCTTGATGGGTAGATAAGGAAAGATCAGTATAAACTGGATAGTTTTTCAGAAAAGGATGCAAGCTAGTAATTTAAAAAAATTGCTACGGGTCAACAATGTGATTTTATTTCTATATAATTAACTTGTTTTATTTGCATAACTACCCTAAAAGGCAGATATTTGGACATCATTTTAAAGGTGAGACTCAAGTAAGTATGGGATAGAAATAGAGTCAAAATCTTGCATTTTTGGAGGTCACGATGTTGAGTGAGATAAGCTAAGCTCAAAAAGACAAACGTTCCATGTTTTCACTCATTTGTGGAATATATAAATACACTCACATATATACACAATTACAATATAATATATATAGAGAGAGTGAGACCATGATTATAATTCTAGGACTACTTGGTGGTGAAGGGAAGAAAAGAGAGGAAATGATATTAAGTGTATAGTATTTATGCAAATGGAAAAAGTAGAAAAGAGATCAACTGAGGAAGTCAATCTGATTAAAGTATAATATAGGCACATGGGAAGAATCATAGGAAAAATCTCTTTTTAAAATTATTATACACCAGAAAATAATGACAAATAGAATGACAAGAAAGTAAATCAAGCGTTGTTGAAGAGTAAATATCACCGGTTGGGGGAGAAACAAAAGAAAGGATGAATGAAGTTGAATATGGTTGAAGTAATTTATGTGTCCATACTTAAATAGAAATTGTTGAAATTGTTGTTGTTTTTGTTTTGTCGGTAGTGGGGGCTGAACTCTGGGCCTGGCACCATCCCTCAGCTCTTCAGCTCAAGGCTAGGGCCCTACTACTTGAGCCACAGTGCCACTTTTGGCTTTTTTCTGCATACATGGTGCTGGGGAATTGAATCCAGGGCCTCATACATGCGAGGCACTCTTACCACTAAGCCAACTTCCCAGATCCCAGAAATTGTTGAAATTGTTTTAAGGAGTGAGGAGTCGGAATGAGGGAGAATGACCAAGGAGTGAGTTTTAGGGACTACTTTGTATATATATATAGAAATATCACAGTGAAATCCCTCTTGTACAATAATAGATGCCATTACAAATCTAAAAAAACTATAACGGTTTTCCTCTAAACCAGGAGTGGTGGTGCACATGTTCCGTTTCAGCACTGTGAGCTACAGACAGGAGGATCAGGTGTTTGTGACTAGTGTGGACTCTACAGTGACCCTGTCACAGAACAGAACAAAACCTCCTGCTCTGCTAGAAGCTTGGGTGTTTATGCACCCCTAAAATGTATATGCTGGAATATTAATTCTCAAGGTAATGGTATTTAGAGGTGAAAACCTGGGAGATGATTAGGTCATGAGATTGGACCTCTATAAAAGGAACTACGGGAAGCTCCCTCATGCCTTCCACCATCTGAGTTCACAAGAAAGAGGAAGCTCTTGTGAGTCAGACACACAGGACACCGAACCTGCTGGTGCCTGCATCATAGACTTCTCAGCCTCAGAAATGAGTTTCTTTCACTTATAAGCCACCTAGTCTCTAGTACTTTTTGTTACAGAAAGCCTGAATAGACAAGACTTTACCTCCAGCCCTATGCTTTGGAAAAAGACAGCATTGGGATAGGTGAGCTAGATCTCTGGATGAGGGGTGTTCGGAGTCAGTAGGAGCAGAGCCTCAGCACAAGAGAATTCAAGGCAAGGTGCACAAGGAGAGTGATGTGGACATGGGCTAGACATATAGCAGGTCACAAGCCAGATATTGAATGATTAGACATGAGCTTCGCACAACTTAAACAGTGTGGGTCCTTTCCTGGATGAATGATTTAGAGGCATTATCTCACTCTTCCTCACAGAAACTCTCTGAAGTAGATACTATCATTTATCAGTATTTTATCATGAAGAGCTCAAGATTACAGCTGATGTGGTTAGTAAGGGATGAGTATGAGGCTTGAGGCTGCCTGATGTATCTGCTATGCCACAGAGAGCTGTGTATCTCCTGGCATAAGGAAACAGAACCAGGAGATATCATTGGCTTTTGTATTCAGGGCAAACTGCCCATGGCTTGAGTGTCTCAGAATCTTTGCTCACTATAGAGCAACTATCCACTTAGCCTTTGGTAGGTTCCTGGCTAGGGTGCTGGGTGACTATATTATGTTTAATCCAAACTGAAGCATAAGTTGCATAGCTATTGCTTGAACTTGTAATAACTCAAATCAATAAAATTAAAGGTGGCAAGGTGCATCTTGAAACTTACTCTCCAATTAGAGGAATGGAATCTGGAAAGTATTTCTGGAAGAAATCTAGCACATCATTGCTGGTTAGAAGTTTTTCAAACTCATCGAAGGGCATGAACAAAGTGCACGTAAATGATTTTTCCTGTGAGAAGAACAGGGTGAGAGAGAAAACAGGCCAGTGTCGCTAGCACTATGAGTGAACCCCCAATTCACTTGGCTTCTTGCTTGGACCTGAGCCCCTGGGGAGAATATTCAAGTAGACAGGAAAAGCACTATGGTTTTGTCCTTTTTCCCCTAAAGAAAAGCTCTGGAGTATTCCAGGGATACTCCCTGCCCTCTTGCTTCTCAGAACTCCTGCCCTAGGAACTCTTCATTTTTACAAACAAACATTGCTCTAGTTAGGTGGCTAATAGGTTGGTTGGTTTATTTTTTCTTCCTTTTAAAACAGCATCAATAGGATTGCAAGACAAGTAGCAACAAGAAGACTAAACAAAGAACAGGTGGCTATAGCTATATAGGAAAACAAACAAACAACTGTTGGGGTTTGAGTAAAGAAAAACTATGCCTTTTTCTGTGTAATACATATTCCAGTGTTCTACAGACCTTAAAGAAGCAGAGATACTTCCTTACATATGAAGTTTACATCTCTGTGGCTTTATTGGGGAGATATTCCCTTTAGACTCGTTTTGATTGAAATGACAGGCACCTCCATCCATAAACTCCCATTAGTTACCCAAGTAAGTTAACTCTGAAGTAAATGGTTGAATTTCCAATTACGGAAGCAAATAATTGGACTAATTTTTCTTCTCAGTAATCCGAAGACATAAAAATAGAATCACTAAATAGATTAAACAACGAAGGTATCAATTGGGTATGTAAAACAAAAACTCATAAAGGCTGAACAGCATTGCTGTAGCAGCATTGCTACTCACATTATGTTGAAAATGAACTATGCCACTTGTGGGTGGAGATAAGAGGGAAAAACTGGGAGAGAGGGAAAGATGGGTCACATTGTCCAAAAAGAAATATACTCATTACCTGACTTATGAAACTGAAACCACTCCATACATCACCTTTATAATTACAATTTTAATGGTTTAGAAAAACTCATGAAAGACATTCAGTATAGATTCACAGTTAGTTGATAAGAAAAATCTATATTACCATGTTAGGTAGCGCAATCATCATAAAGGTATTTCTAGGCCATATATGCAGATAATTAGGTTCCATAGCATACTGTAGGAAAAAATATGTTTGATTAGTGCATTAATACAACACATATCTCTGCTTTTTATTGGTCCCAGTAATGTAAACAAATACCCTATGTGTGGTAATATGCTTATGCATTGCTTCATGAAATTGAAATTGTCTTTAAAAATACATTTGAGTTCTAGTTGGGTGCCAGTGGTTCACACCTATAATCCTAGCTACTCAGAAGGCTGAGATATGAGGATCTCAGTTTGAAGCCAATCCAGGCAGGAAAGTCTATGAGTCTCATATCCCTATTAAACTACCAAAAAGAAGCCAGAAGTAGAACTGTGAGTGGACTGATACAACTCTAGCTTTGAGCAAAAGAAGTTCAAGGACAGCCCCAAGGCCCTGAGTTCAAGACCCAGAACTAAAACCAGACAAATACATACACTGAGTTCTGTCTTTATAAACTCAACCATAGGTGTGTTTTTGATTTCAGGTCTTCAGAAGACACATTAAAACCCTCGGGACATTGATGGTTCCTCTTTCCTAGAGAAATCAAGTTTTCTCAGAAATGCAGCAGATTAGGTTCTCAGTTCTTGAGAACATACTGCAAGAAGACTTTATTTTTTCTCTGTATTTTCACACATACATCCACAAACACATACTTATATAAATATATATACATATATATATATATATATATATATACATGTATCAGAATCTATACATTTAAGCCAAGTGCTAGTGACTCATGCCTGTAATCCTAGCTAGTAGGATGCTTAGATATATGTACAATGTCATGATTCAAGGTCAACTTGAGGAGAATAGTTTGCTAAATTCTACTTTCAAAATAACCATCAAAAAGCAGAGGTAGAGGCGTGGCTTAAGTGGTAGAGCAACTAACAATGTTGAGTCAATATTGCTTCAATATTGCAAATGTTGCTTCAATATAGCAAAAAAGAAAAAAATGTGAGTATATGTAATCGTAATTTTGTTGCCTGATCTGAATAAATTAGACTTAAGTCTTAGGCTTAAGTAGTAAGTGGAATACCAAAAGAACAGCATGGCTTCCACCTAGCATTTTCATGCTGAATCATAGTTATTGTGTTATGTATCTTAGAAGAAAGCTCTGTGCCCATGTAGGGTTTTTGTTTTTGTTTTTGCTAAGGGCCCCGAAGGGACATAACAGTATACATGCATAACTCCTTGCCTTCCAAGATCTTACAATGAGTTGAAGCGACAAGATGAGCCTGTGTAAATAAACACCAGACTGTACTGCTCTTTAACAACAGTGCTCTTACCCAACAAATGTTGGGTAAGAAGATCATGAGTGGCTTAATGACAAAGTGTCAATTGTCTAGGGACAACATAGGCTACACAATGAGACCCTGTCTCAAAAACCAAAAATCAAACTGACAAAGATTCTGGATCATTTGCCTCCTGGACAACTGATTCCCAACCTATTGTTTTTCTTCCATAAAGAACATAGACCAATGGCAATATTATGTAATATAAATCCCCTGTGTGTTTCCAGTAGGGTGACTGAAAGCAAACCAGTGAAAAGGCAAGAATAATAGAACCATAATGTTAAAGAGGTGTCTGCACACCTAACTCACTATGAATTACAAAGTTCAGCAGCAGAATGAAAGCTGAGCACCATGGGGAACACCTGCACAGGCCTCCATGTCTGAAACCCAGGGTAAAGAAGCTTCAAAGGGAAAGGACTTACTTCCCCACACTTAGGTGGAATAGTCAACTCCATGTACCCATGAGGAATGTACTGCTGACTGTAATCAAAGCGAGGCTTCCTCATGAAGTGACTTCTGACGGTCGAATAGGCGCCATCACATCCTACAATGAGGTCACAAGTGACATCTTTGGGAACGTTGTCAGGTCTGAAAAATACAATGAGCCACCCCCCCCAAAGCAACACCTAGTGAAAACATTGCTCTCAATACTCTGTTTCTACTTGGGCATGAAAAGTCATGGTTGAGTGGGGGTGACTCAGGCAACTCAAATGCCTGTGCCACATTGAGAGTGCTGAGTCAAGGATTTAAAATAAAGACGAAAATTCTTGTCTCTTTGTCAAGGTTTTTCATGTAAGAAAGAGAATAATGTACAAGTGTACAGACGGCAAAGACACATGACACAGAACTGTGACAAAGACTTGAGCTTCCTGAATAAAGGAAGAGAACATTCAGACAAGGACAGAGTGTCCCATGAGAGTCAATTGTGAATTCTTAAGTTACAGCTGTGCAAATGAATGTACAAACAACCGCTCGGATGTGACCAACATTTTCTAGGTGTAATAAGTTTGGCTTGAGCAAAGGTATTTGAAGGTAAGCCTAAGGTGATTTCTGATACTGGGCTCCAGAATATCAAGTTCTGCAGATATTCAAATCCCTTAAGTACTGTACATAATTCACCCATATCTTCACATGTTTTAAACCATCATTAGAGTATTTCTATATCTAGTACAATGTAATGCAGGCATATTGTTGTTATATTATATTCTTAGGGAATCATTATTTCCTAAAAAGTGAAAAGTCTGTGCATTTTTCAATATAGATGCAATTTTTGTTGTTTTTGAATAGATTTGATCTGAGGCTGGTTAAATTCATGCATGAGAAACCAATAGATATAATGGGCTAATTGCACAATGGGTAGTGGGTATGAAGGAGAAGAGAATTTGGGATATAAAGAACAAAGTTCTAAATATATTATTCTAGCAAAAGGTAGATAATAATATTCTCCTTTAGAAGGATAATATATGAAAAGTTGCAATGTAAAAAAATGTACTTGGCAGTTTGAAGTGGAAGCAGAATGCAGGGGTTAGGGGTTAGTGGAAACAGATGGGTCATCTGTTTAGGGGGAAAGCCAGACAGTATTGTACTATAGGAAGAAGGAAGACAGAATCTAAAGCCAGCAGGAGGGAGGAAGACATCCTTGAAGAGTTATAGTTCTATAGGAGAAAAGACATACCATGAAGAAGTCTAATGACATAGGCAAGAGTACCAGCAAAATCAAGAATGAGGCATGATGAAAGACTTTGACATATTTGAACTGGTGTAACCAGTACCTGCTATTGGGAAATGGTGATTTGTTGATTAGGACTTCGATAAGGAGTGCTAAGGAAGAGAGAAGCAGGAGCTAGCAGTGTTTATTTTAGAGATATGAATTTTCAGATGGTTATGAAACTCTGAACCATGGATCCATGACATATCCCAAGAGTGGGCTCTGTGACTTGGAATTTCCGGGGAAATTGAATTGGCCAAAGAGAGGCAAAGAAATTGGACCTGGAAAGAGGACAGGAAATGCTGGTCAATGACAGCCACCAGGTTCAAGGAGGAGAGAGTTTGAATAGAACATGGTTGCCAGAATGTGATCATTTAGAATCGCGGTTGGGACCTGGATATTCAGAAGGCATCCGGGACAAAATTCCTATTTTTTGTTTCTTGAATCTAGGGACTATGAGAATTTTTTGTTTACTGAATCATTTGACTCTTTCAAAAGAGCCAAAGAACAAAGTTTACAAATAGAGCGCTTCATTCCAAGCCTTCCCTCTGAGCCAAAAGCTTGACCCAGATTACCCTAGAACTGTGACCATTCCCTCCTCAGGACTGCATTTCACCAGCCGGTGGCCAAAGTGCACCTTTGCGTTGGGATATTTCTCAACGGCTGCAAGAGGAAACAGAAGGCGAATAGATAAATTTCAATTCTTATTTAATCAGTTTGAACAAAAGATCATTTACCTGGCCCAGTAGGATAGAAATGTTTTATCAATTAATTTATTCTTTGTGTGGTTTTTTGGGGGGAGCAGGACACGATTTTGGTCTGTAGCACATGTTGCTGGCCTTGAACTCAATCTTCCTAGCCTCCATCTCCTGGGTGCTAGGATTGCAGGTGTGCTCCACCAGGAATGATGAGATTTCTTTGTTCTCTGTCTTTTCTACCTCCTTCCTTTCTTCCCCTCTCTCCTGCATTACTGGGACCTTTAATTTACCTAATTTGCTATCTGTTAATTGACTCACTCTCCAGACCTGCTTTATTACTGGTTATTGTGGAGATGGAGTCTAGTAAACTTTTCTGCCTGGGATGTCTTTGAACCTTGATCCTCCATGTTTCAGCACTATGTGGCTTGAGTAGCAAAGGGCCAGTCATGAGTGAAAAAGACAAGCATGAACTTGAGGCCCTGAGTTGAAGCCACAATATCTGTCCAAAGTAATAAAGAGGTGAAAGAAAGAAAGACAGACAGATGAAAGAAAGAAAGAAAGAAAGAAAGAAAGAAAGAAAGAAAGAAAGAAAGAAAGAAAGAAAGAAAGAAAGAAAGAAAGAAAGGAGGGAAGGAAGGAAGGAAGGAAGGAAGGAGGGAGGGAGGGAGGGAAGGAAGAGAAGGAGGGAGGGAGGGAAGGAGGGAAGATGGGAGGAAAGGAGGGAGGGAAGCAGGAAAGAGAAAGAGAAGAGAAGGAAATACAATGTTTTGCATTGTGAACTCTTGTAGTCCTGAGACTGTTAGAAGTCTGTACCTTTGGAAAGAAAACAGGTACTCCTACTTAATTTTAATGCAAAGTTATACTATTAAATCCAGAGAGTTTTCCAGAGAACACTAGTCTTAGATAATGTTCTTAAAAACTGTGGCCATTGTTGAGAGCAGAGGAGAAACACTGAATACTCTAGATTCTCAACTGTACTGTGCTAGTCCCCAGCTCCATGGTATGAACTTGAACGTGGATAGTCTGAAGCATACTCTGGATTGAAGTCCAAGGCCAGTTGCAGGTAGAAATATTCACAAGCTCTCACTACCACCACAACAAAAAATAGCTGAACATGATGGAGTGTATTTGTCATTCAACTATGATGGAAAGCATAAGCGGGAGGATCTCTAGTCAAGCTGTTCCCAGAGACAAAGTGAAATTCGATTTCAAACATAACCAGAACAAAA